TGCGAGTCATCCAACTTGATTACATGGCCTTTGACCTGTGACCCATCTGGTAAGGGTTAATGAGAATACACAAAATTGGTTTATCCCTCAGGCCTGTTCTTTCTACTCTTGGTTCCTATGTCCATAAACTTGCTAAATATTTTGTACCTGCACTAAGTTCACTAACTGAGAATGAATTTACTCTAAAAGATTCTTTTACATTTGCTAAAAAATTTTCTGAGTTACCTAATGCAAACCAGCTTTGATATATAGTCCTTATTCACTAACTAATTAATTGTTAAACATTTATTTCCAATCTTAAATGCCCTGCACTCTAACCAACAAAAATTCAAACAGCTTCTTTAGCTGGCCCTCAAGGACAGTCACTTCATTTTACGGGTGTGCTGTATGACATGATAGATGAAGTGACGATGGGATCACGTCTAGGTCCGACTCTTGTAAAATTTATCTCTGTTATTATGAATTTCAATGGATGGATAGTTGCCCTCTCTATTACAAACCAATATTACAGAGAAAAAATGTTGAAGATGCATTTCTACTTTTTCACAACACTGATCACGTCTAGAAGTTCAAATACTTAAACTCACAATGTCCATGTATACATTTTACATGGTTACATGTAAGATGGAAGATAAATAATAACTTAGCTTTTTTAGACATCCAAGTAAACAAAATAAGCCATCTCTTTGCCACATTTGTATACTGTAGGAAAATACTTACTGGCTTATAGACTTGTTTTGACAGTTTCATACCAGACTCCTTCAAACGAAACTGTGTTCTAAATCTTCTAAACAGGGTGTATATCTGTTCTGACTACTTCTGTCTTAGCTCAGAAATTTCCAAAATTCACAACATATTACAAAGTAATGGCTGTCCCCTTAATTTCTTATGCTCTATCATATAAACATTTTTAACAAAGAAAAGGAACCTACCAAGATGCCACACATTGTCTTGAAGTATCCACTTGTTCTTATCACTTCTGCCATTGGTAAACAAAGTTTTAAATTCAAGTCTCAAATTCAAAAAATAATCAAGACACAAATAACATTTAAATCAATATTTAAAGTTGAAAACTTGTTTAAACCCAAAGGCACTTTCCCCATCCCTGTGCTTTCATGGGTCATATATAAATACACTTGTGGTAGCTGTAAAGCTACCTGTATTTGTAAAAGTACATGTCATCCACAAGTATATCATGAGAAGTTCAAGTAGTAGTGGATATAAGCTAACTAATCTACCCGAGTCTTGTATTGCATTATACTTCTTGAAAACTTTAAAATTCTCAACTCTGGAACCACAGATTACAAACTCTAATTAAAGAAAGCTTTTCCATTTTCAGTGATCACCCAACACTAAATAATAACATTAATTCCACTCTGTTGTCATAAACTTAATCAATTCCAGGTTCCCAGTGTTTTTGATTATTATTATTTTAAAGATGCAGTGTTCATACTTATATTTAAGCCTTTCTTTATAATGATTTCTTTTAACAATATTATTACATATATGCTGCTCATTTTGTCATATATTCCATTATATTGTTCCATTTAAATCTGTTCTTTCTAAACTTTTGATTGCATATAAAATCACTTAATAGCTAATGTTGTTTTTTGTACATAGAATATTGTGAACTAACTTTATAAAATTTGATTATTGATTTGAAGGAATTACTAAATGTCTGTAATTTAATATATTTTTTTGCCATTACAATGTTTGTAATATTTATTATAAGAATATATAATAAGTAATGTAATTAAAGAAATTATAATTCTTTAGGATACATAAATGAGACAAAGTAAAAAGATTTGAATTATCAGCCATTGTAGTGAAAAAAGTAACGATGTTAGTATTACTGTTATATAAATTTCAGGTGCAGAGAAAGCTAGAAAATGAAATTGAAAGTAAAAGAAAAGGAGAAGTTAAACTGCAGGAGTTACGAACCAAATTAGAACAAGAGCAAGGTTTACGGGTTCATCTTTCTTCCTCTTCGCAGCAGGCTTCAGATAAAGTTGCTGCTTTTGAAAAACAAATCCGTGAACTTAATGAGAAATTGAAAATGGAAGCTGAAAATAACAATAAACTAAAGAAAACTAACAATGAACTTTCTCTGGTTAGTGTAACTTTGTGTTTAACTGTAGTTTTTAATGTTTGTTTTCTGATCATTTAAGTCATAGATGTAATGTCTTTATATTTCTTCCAATGTTTTACACCTTTCTTAAAAAAAGAAAGAGGTGAATACCTACATTTTCAGCTAGTTCTAATTAGTTATAGTAAATGCTATTTTTGTTGGGCATACTAAATCATATATTATCCAGTAAATGGCAGTTACTCTCCAGTCTGCACTATGAGTTTTAAACTAATTTTCCAATTACTTTTATCATTCTTGCTCTTCTAACTATGCTGATTATTACTTGTAAAGTTTAAAGTGTCCATTAAGGACTTACCATTTAATTAGTTTAATAATTATTTAGTTTACCAACTTAAATTCATAATTCCCACAAAGAACATGCTTTCCCTTCTTTGGTTTTCACATAGATTATTATTACATGTTAAGAATAAGAAGTGAAATAGACTGTATGCCACAAAGATGTTGAAATTCTATAATCTTTTAGGGGGCTTGTGACATGATTAGTAATTATCTAATCAGGTCTAGAAGTTTTGGCTAATTTTAAATTGTAGAAAAGCTTTTCCTTGTTTGTTGAAGTCTCAATGTGAAACAATACCAGGAACTGAGATAATACAAAAAAAGTATTTGATCTGCCAGTTCCTTTTAACTCTCCCAATTACAGGCTTGGTCAATTTGACCGACCACTTGACTTCTTTGTATTTGTTCAAAGTCTTTATAGATTTGATACTACTAATTTTTAATATAGTGTGTATATCTTCACGAAATTTGGCAGACTTTCAGTAAACATTATGTCTTTCACATACAAAAATCTTATTTTTTTATGAACTGTTTTTAATAAACTAAAAAAGATTTGTCTGTGAATATATCAAGTATTTGTTTTGAATAGTCTGTGTGCAAAGTGATTTTCATGTTAAGATTAAAAATACTTCATCTCCTAAATCTCAAATTTCATTTTCAATGACGAGGAACCCTCTTTGAGACTAATAATGGTTGGAGACGGCTTGAATGGGTAATGAAGAAACTCTTTAATATAAGTTTAACAAATGTACAACATTTCGACAAGGTTTTGTCATCATCAAATCTCCAAAACCTCCTAAATACATCTCAAATGTTTGTTTTCAGTAAAACTTTATATTTCATCTGTTATTTTCTCTACCCTAACTCTATAGAAGGTTGGTCAATTTAACTGACTTCATAACCACCAAAAAAAGAAAAAATCTAAATAAATCTAAATTACCCTCTTTTTCTTTCTAGAATGACTTCAAATTGTAACATGAAATTACATTTGCTTATCCTAAGTAGCTTTAAACTCATAATAGTATACATCAATTTTTAATTAAATTTTATTGTTTTATTATTATATTGCCCTTTGAACTGTGTCTAACTACTATTTTCACCATTATAAGTTATAAATCACTTGGGGAATGTGGAGGTCATGTTACCCATGAGCTGCTCAAGGTGCGTGCCTCATGAAACATTTTTATTGTATTATTATTCATTTTATCTAATCTAGCCTTAACTGAACTAAGGAGATCCATATTTTTACATTTTAGTTACTTTTATAATAATAAATAAAGAATAAACATGAAAAACAAGAAATAAAGTACTTACCTAGGTTGCTGTCATTATTATTTTTTTTGCTGTTGACTGTCGATGACACTTAACCCTACTGTTTTATGCTAATGGTAGTAATGCACGATATAGTTTTTATTTAAATAATGCACCAAAGAACACAGAATAATAACATGCAAAAAGCAGATGATTTCCTCTAACTGGCTTTCTAACTATGCAACAAGAGCCATTAAAACTTCATCTAAGCTCGTCAATATGTTTCCAGTGGGAATTAAGCTTGAACTGAAAACTAAACTGACGATTCTATGTTCAGAAAACAAAATAATGTAATACGTCATTTGGTAGATGAAAACCTTGGCTTTCTATTGGTTATACATAATGTAGTATTAAGTGTAAGAGAGAACTATTAACAAATCCTTAAAGAGAGGATGTGACAGGTGGGTGTGGTAAGAGGGATCTGATTTTCTATTTGATGGCTCTATAACCAAACAAAATTGGAAGCTATAAAATTTATGGTTTGTCTGAGCAATGACAATTTTATGGTGAGTAATTTATGCTTAATTTTGTACTTATTGGTGGGGTGGTGAATATAATAGAGAAGATGGGATGCCTACAGAAAATGTGTCACCTTTCTCACACTAGGGGAAATTCAGAATTTAAAACTTATATGCTATTAAAATATGCATTATTAGCTACAGTTTTATGCTATACTAATTGGTATAACATAAACAAAAAATAGTTTCATAAAATTTTGCATGTAAGCCACTAAAACTTCGTTGACATGCGCAGTAAGTGATGCCCGGGCAGATAGGGTTAAGTTGCAGTTATGAAAAGGTTGAAAGTAAATAATTTTTTTAGTAATCAGCCAGTTATTTAGTTTATATCAGCTGGTTCTGATTAATTTGGTTTATGGCTAGTAAACCAATTACAGATTATTATACTGTTTAACCCTTTCGCATTGAGTTGGTCAAAGTGTGTGTGTTGCAACCTTTTACTGAGTTGCATTTAAAACTTAATTAAACTACTTTATTATCAATATGTACAAATAAACTTGGCATTAAAATGTAGTTAACAATTCAAATTTTAATGTTATATAAGTTTTAAGGTCTTAATTTTATAAGGAAATATTTGTTAAAAAATTAGTTTTCCCTAGTATAAGAAATGTGACATTTGCTCTCTAGGTCTTCCTTCTTCTCCACTTTATTTAATATCCCTCCAAGAAGTACAGAATTTGATGTAAATTACTTATTATAATATAGATATTACTCAGACAAAGCATAATTTTTTAGCCTTCAATCTTATTTGTATATAGAGCCATAAACTAGAAAAATCAGACCCACCTGTCACATCCGCTGTCACAAATTGCCAATAGCTCTTTCTGATGCTTTATACTATATTATTTATAACCAAAAGAAAGTCAAAGTTTTAATCTATCAATTGTAATATTTGCTTTTTCTATGGAGCATTATCTGTTTCATTGTTCAGTTTCAAATTTGTTCTCATAGGAATTACATTGACAAACTTAGCTGAATTTTTAAAGTTGCTTATTGAATTGTTAGAAAGCCAAAAAAATTATGATATTTATAGGACATTGTTTGTTTTTTGCATGTTTTTATTCTGTGCTCTTGGGTGTATTACTTAATTAAATAAATTTAGTTTAGTAGTACCATTAGTATAAAAAACTAGGCTTAAGTTTCATTGACAGTTTACAGCAAAAAAAAAGAAGAACCATGTAAGTACTATATTTTTTGTATTTCTTGTGTATTCTTTATTCGCTATTAGAAAAGTAACTGAAATGTAAAGATTAGAAATTTATTAGGTTAGATAATGTTAGATTAGGTAAAATAATAATAAAAATTATTCATGAGGTTCACCAAGTGATTTACTTTTATGGTGGGATTATTAGCTATACACTATTCAAAGGTCAATAAAGCAATAAAAATAAGTATAAATAGGTGTGTACTGTTATGAGCATGAAGCTGTTTAGGGTAAATAATTGCAGTTTCCTGTTACAATTTGCAGTTATTATAGAAAGAAAAAAGGATAATTTAGATTTATTTCCTAATTTTATATGATGCGTATGAGGTCTGTCAAATTGACTGACCATGTACAGAGTTATGGTAGAGAAAGTAACATAAAATGTAAAGTTTTTCTGAAAAAATACATTTGATATTTATTTAAGAGGTTCTAGAGATTGTGCAAGTGAAATTTGAAAATTTTCAGATGAATAAAAGTATTTTTAATCTTAACATGAAAATCACTTTGTACTCGGAGGAGTCAACACTCTGACTCCTTTATTCACAGACACATTTTTAGTAAAAATTTACTTAATTGAAAATTCTGATTTTTTTTCCTACAAAAGATTGGTAATGTTTACTGAAAGCTTGCCAAATTATAGTATTCATACCTTCATGGTTACAAGGTCATATAAAATATGTGAACTCATTGTGAAAGTGTTAATTAGCACATACCTCATGGACATGTGCAACTTTACCAATAACAGTAATAATGATAAAGTTAACTGGACGATTAGTTTAAGAGTATAGAACACTTCAGTCATCCCTTAATTGTTTTGAGCAGTGTATTTCAGGGTTTATGGTTTCTTACTGAATAATAAAATAAACATTTAATTTGAATTAAATCTCTGGATTTTTAATGCAAGCAAACTTTAATAACTCTAAATGTTTGAATTATTATTGTAAATATATGTAATGTTGTAGTGACATTAATTCTATAACAACCTGCAATATTCTTTCATTGAACGATCTTACTTCATAAGATATAATATTGTTAGCTTCAGTAGTCCTCTAATGGTTCAGCAGTAAGTTTATGGACTTGCAGCACTAAAATCCAGGGTTTTTATCTCTGCTCTTCAGTGGGCAGAATGCAAATACTCATTCAATATTACATAAAACAGTTAAAACTCAGCAGAATTTTGGTTGCTTTACCATGGTTTATGAGGCTTCAATATCTCAATGGCCTTGGAGGAGCATTATTAAAATTATTATTCACTGTATAGGTATAGGATGTTGACATTTCACTGCCCTAATTAATTTGTAAAAAATTCATCTGTGACATTTGGCATTGCCGTTTCAATAGTGGCGAACATACTTTTACTTGTTTAACATTCTGTATGAATGGGTACTCTTGTTAATTTGAGGAGAAACTTTTCATTTCCATGGGTAGAATTTTTGCTAATTCTCACTGAGATCACAGTTCTTTGATTGCAATTAATTAATAAACACTTAAGATATAAGTAAAACTATTTAAATATAAATGCTTTACACACTAAAGTTATTGATTCTGAAGACCAGAAAAAAATTTCACTTTTGAGAATTTATACCAATTTTACAGCAATAGTACCAATATGAATATGATTTTTTTCAAACAGTAGTGAACAAGCATTACATTCATGATATCCAGATTTTAATGGCTGCAAGTAAATGTGTATGTGATGTCATGACCACCTGTTAATGACTGCTGGCATTAGAATATGAACCAATGATAATATTATGGCTCACAAAATAAACTAAAAACCACATAGAAAATTAAGCAGTATACAATGTTATTTAAAATGTTTGATTTCCATTCAGTATTCATTTGTCCATGGTTTTAAAGTATTGTACAAACCTTAGGTTAATCAATAGTTAAAAAAATAATAGATACCAATTATTCATCCAACTTTCATATTAGCTCATCCCTAGAGTCTGTAATTATAAACAATATTTTGAGTATTCACTCTGTTAGCTTATCCCTAGAGTCTGTAATTATAAACAATATTTTGAGTATTCACTCTGTTAGTTCATCCCTAGAGTCTGTAATTATAAACAATATTTTGAGTATTCACTCTTAATTTGTTTTTTAGAGCAATGCATCTAAGGATCAAACTGTTCAGGAACTTAATGAGAAGTTGGCAGCTGCTCAGAATACGAAGATTTCCCAGGAGAGGGAAATCGTTGAACTGGAGACTAAGATAGAGAAGGAGAGGAGCTCACGTTCACAAGCTTCTGATAGATCTCAGGAGCTAGAAAGTAAGGCTTATAATATGTGTGTAAAGACTAACATAATGGAAAGTGTTACATTATTTATTAAGATTCTTAGTAGCATATATACATATATATATATATATACAGTATATATATATTGTTAAAATTAGTTACAGACTCATGAAAGGCTATGACCACCAAATTATAATTTGGTAACAAAACTTGTGTGATTTCATAAACCCAGTTAGGTTGATGTCTTCTTGGTCAAGGTAGTAACATGTCTTTGATTTTAAGGATCTTGAATGTCATTTGTGTGTAGTTTTTAAAAAATTGTTCAAAATTTTTCCACAAAAGATTTGAAGAAGATTCATCTGACTAAACTCTTTTGCAAAAGTAATAAAATTATGCTGATATTGCTAAGAACAGTTTTGTCTGTTTTTAACTTACTCGTAATGAAATGATCTTTTCTGTCTTTATTAGACCAAAGACAAGTTTTGCAGCAAGAAATAGAACGATTACGGGAACGTGAGGCTACTTATACTTTGGAAAACCAAAAACTTAATGACAAACATATTGAAATGGAAAAAGTAAGTATAACCTTGGGTAGTATGGGTTCTTGTTTCCAGGAACAATCTAAGTGTCTCATAGCATTTGTTAGCATCTTGCAACTGGTACTCTTGATCATTTAATCCATAAAATACTTAAAGAAATTCACTATTAACAAATTAGTAAGTTATGAACCAAAAAATGTTACCGGATATACCTAGATTCTTTACACAGCAAATACATCATCATTCCCATTAATGAATCTGCTAACTGCTTTTCATTTGTAAAAACATTTATATTATAACTTTATGTAGAGAATTAGGGTTTAATTTAGAAACACTAAATCTTTCAAGTAACAAGGTGATGAAGATATTAAAAATGATAAAGTATCATACAAAAAAAACATGTTTTATTATACTTTGGTGTACATTGTTATCTTAAGTAATACTTAATTTGAGTTTCCAAGCTATTTAGAACACCATACAAATACAGGTTTTTTCACTCTCTAAAAAGCTACAACTAAGGAGGTATTGGGTCTAAGTGGTAGTGGTCTGAAATACATTGAAGAACATTTAAAGAAATACTGTAATATTGTTAAAGAAAAATTCATTATTAATCCATTCATTATCATTGGTAATTTCAGTGAATGTGAAGAGAAAATTAAAGACTTTGTGGCAAAAACACTAGAAACTTTAAATTTTAGTAATCTTTAGTCTTACTATTGATAAAATTAAAGTTTTTCAACACCAATTTCAAGATCTTTTAAAAAATTGTAGTAAATTAATGTTTATGATAATGTTACTCATAAAAATTATCACTTTCACAATAAAGAAATTCATTTTTACAAGGTATGTATTTTTACTTGACAAAACATTTGTACAATTCAGCCAACATATCTCTCTGCAAATATGGGTTGTAACTTCAGTCTACAAGTTGCAGATTTATATATATTCAAACTAAATTTTTATTCAAAACAAATCTAAGTAAGAAAGACAAAACTTTACACATGCTAAACTTGTAGATATTATCGATGATAACTTTTGCTGAATTATTAAGACTTCCTTACCTGTGTTTCCATCAGCCAACCTAATTTGTGGTGGATGTTTTGTTTTTTACTACCAAAAATTGTAGGTCTTTTGAATGCATGTCCATTTAACCTGAGATATTTTATTCTGGCTTCAGGAGGTTGAACTGATCTGTGTCAAATATTTTGTTGTGGGGAATAGGTGATGTGAGATAACCAACTTGCAGGAATACTAGGCATTCATGCTTTTGGCCTCATTTAAAACTTGACTTTATGCTTTTCCAGTCATCCGATGTATCACTGGTATGTTGAAATATTGCCAGGTGCCATTGCAGAAATCTTTTATTGCTCAGGTATACCAAAATATATTATTTGTCTTTTAATTGACACCACTCATCACCTGCATGGATGCTGCCATGGTAGTAACTTTGTGTATGCCTAAAATTTGTAGCATCTTCTACCAGTGGCTATATGAATGATAGTCTAGTCTTTTTTGAGAAGTTCTAGTATAAAACACAATGCTAGGCCAGTGCTGTGCTAAAGGTAATCTGTTAATGCAGGAAATGTGTTAATCTGAAGTAATACTTGCTAGTGGAAGCACTGCTTTTGACATTGCCAAATGCATTTATCCACCAGAACTCACTAGAGAGAAAAGCTATTTCACTGCCAACAAAACACATTACCTGGATTTAGATATAAGTATTCTTAATCTGTCCCTTAACCAGAGTGCCTCAGTGGCAGGGATCAGGTGTAAAAAATTTGGGATTGGTTCAGTTTTGATGTAATTTGCATAGAATGTAGCATACAACGAAATATGATGAATATGATTTATAGTTTCCAAATCAGATAAAAATTGACCGAGTTATGACTGACCACATCATTAGCAGAACCCTAATAGCCATAGTTAATGACAGTACTTTTTCTTGTGTAACTGACAATTCTGCTATGTGAGCAGCCTTCTTCTCTGCCCATCACTGCATCTGTTTTTCAGACCAGAGCCCAATAGATCTTCAGCAGATAGCTCCAGAACCTGTGACTGGAAATTTATATATTTTATAATTTAAAATTTAATGTATGTTTAATTAAAAAAAATATTTTTAAAACATGCCAAACATACTTTTTCATGTGTCATAGGGCATTTCTTCTTGTCTTACTACTGAGTTAGGCCCGGCATGGCCAGGTGGTTAGGACGCTCGACTCGCAATCTGCGGGTCGTGGGTTTGCATCCCTGTCCCACCAAACGTGCTCGCCCTTTCAGCCGTGGAGGCGTTATAATGTGACTGTCAATCCCACTATTCGTTGGTAAAAGAGTAGCCCAAGAGTTGGCGGTGGGTGGTGATGACTAGCTGCCTTCCCTCTAGTCTTACACTGCTAAATTAGGGACGGCTAACACAGATAGCCCTCGTGTAGCTTTGTGCGAAATTCAAAACAAACAAACAAATACTACTGAGTTTATATTTTATTATGCTTACCACACAATGTGTATAGTGGCTAATGAATTAGAAACTCAAACTTCAGACATTTGCAAGCTAGAATATAAAATAAGAACCTCCCACCTCTTTGATTTGCTGAGATATCATTATATTTTGTAAGCCTACAATGGTAGACCCACCCACTACTCCATTCTTTTGGAACCTTTTGTCTACTCACACCTACTTCTCTTAAGTGCATGTTTGTAACCAATAGAAAGAGCACTTTCCAATCTACGTAATTCTGACAATTGTCTGTAATTGGTATGAAGGGGAAATTTGTAATTTGACTAGAAATGTTAAAAATCTGGTGAGTATGTCATTTCTTTGAACAGAGCTAAATTTTTTTCAATCTGTGTATAGCTTATAGAAAACCAGGTAAATTACAGTGGTTTTATGTGCATCAGTATAGTAATTTGATAATTTTTTGGTTTTCGACAATGCATCTTTGAAATCTACAAAAATTAATTTAGCTTTCCCCTCCACCTGAAAGAATAAACAAAGCTTATGGCGAGGCTTAGCGAGTACTATAAATCATTGTTTTATTTATTATCTTATGTTTTAAGAGAAATAACTAAAAATTGATTACTTGTAAGTTGTAATAATATATATATATATATATATATATATATATTTTCATAAGCACTTATATACTTTGTACACCTGTACTACTAAATTCTTACCACCCTGGGAGAATAGTTTAACATCCTAATACCTACTAAATTTATTGGAATGGCCTGGACTTTGTACAGAGCCATATCATAAACATTTTCTTGCATTTTTATTACTTTAGACAGTTTTCGTTGTAACTTCTGTACTATAAACATGTTGATAAATCCCCTCCCACTGTGTTCTCACAGCCAGGATTACCATACTCTGTGGGAAAGTTCTTGTAATTGCACTGCACAACCTTATTTGCTATTAATGGTGTCACATAAACAATTATTGGCAGGAGTGGTGACTTATTGTTTTATGATCGGCAAGTTTTTGTTTCAGCTGCTAACAGTAAAATGAAAATGGGTAGATGTGAAAAAGTTAGAAGTAGAAACTCTCAGGGGAAGTACTTTAGAACTTTGTGGTCATTACTAAATAGGATAGACTGGCACTACTCACCTTATTTCACATTTTTCAACTTAATGTTTTATGGTGGTTACAAGACTGACCCCTTATAGATTTAGGGTAGAAAAAATGGATAACATGTAAAGTTTTTCTGGAAAAAAAAAATTTATTTAGGAAGTTTTAGATGGTATTCAAATGAAATTTGAAAATTTTCAGATGAAGAAAAGTATTTTTAATCTCTACATGAAATCACTTTGCAATCAGATGAGTCAACATTCTGACTCCATATATTCATGGACAAATTTTTAGTAAAAATACTTAATTGAAAATTATGATCTTTTGTCTACAAAAGACTTCTAATGCTTACTAAAAGCTTGAAATATTTTGTGAAGATGCACAAAACATGTTAAAACTTACAGTATGGAAACTCCAATGGTCACTTTGGGGTCACATGGTAAGTGTAATCTAATGAGACAGTAGTGAAAGGGCTAATGTGATTTCATAGGTTACTAGATGTTGTTAGGGATTATTATATAAAATTTTGCATATACTGGTGCCATGATTTCCAAGAGACTAGAAATAGGTGATAGCACATGAAGACAAACAACTAGTTTTTGTGTGTTTCAAGTACGATCTTTCTTTAATGTTAGTTTCATTTATTGTATTGGTTAAGTTGTATATGGAATGGTAGAAAAATTTATTGCATCATCCAGTTTTTTAACACACTTCTTTCTTCAGAATCATTGTCTGTTTTGAGGCCCTAATGTATGTAGATGCAAACATGTTTCATGGATGATATAGTACTGTCTAGTATTATATCAGCAGCTTTAAAGGCTGTCTGGGTGTTACATCAGCCATTTTTTTGGCTGTAAATAGAGGTTCTTACAGAGAGTCAGCTTAGCAACCTATCTGCTACAACATTTTTGTGATGTTACTGTGTCTGAAGGTTGCAAGTTAACTTCATTGAAAAAAGCACTCATTGTTTCTTTAAGCAAAGAGGGAATTTCAACAAGGCAGATTGCTAGAAGAATTAAATTTCACCAGTTTATTGTGAGCTGCTTGTTGCAGATATATATAGAGATTGACTGTGTGGAGGGGTGGAAGGGATAGGAAGAAAGCTCCCATAGCAGCTGATGATCAGGTTCTGAAATGCTTGAGCTTGCAGAATTGTCAACTATCATCCACAGACCTCAAAATAGCATGACAGGAAGCTTAAGGGTCACTGTCACTGCATGCACTGTCCAGTTTTATCTTTATTCAGCTGGTCTCTCAACAAGATGAGGCTCAACTGGGCCAAAGAGCATGCCGACTGGACTGGAACAATGTGGAGCAAAATAATTGTCTCAGATGATTTAAAGCACAACCTGCACAGGTCTGATGGGAAATACTTTGTACAGCATTGATGTTGAGAAGAGTTTCATCCTGTGTGTTTGATGCAACTCTGAAGCATCTGCATGGTTAGGTGATACGTATCTCTGGCCAGGGTGTAGAATGTCTGCATTTTGTGAAAGGCACTGTCAGTGTTGACAGATACATCTAGATCCTCAAGTCAAGGTTAAAGCCAACAATTTGTGATTATTTTGATGGGGCTAACTAGTACACATTCCAGGATGACTCTGCTCCATGCCACAAGGCTAAAAAGATTAGCAATATTCATGCACTCTATGCAGTAAACATGAAATAAAGAGGAAATTTCACTCAAGGTATATTGAAAAGACATCTTAGGTTTTATTTCATTGCTTCAGGTGAAGGACTATTTTTGAAGGGAGAGGATCAAGACACTCGACCCTATCGAAAACTGCTAGAAGTTAATGGAAAACAAAAATGTAAGAGAAGAAACTGGGATGCACCTTGGAACTGCAGTAAGCCCTAATCCACTTGTGGCATCATGAACCTTTGCCTACATTCATTCCCTCGTGCACTCTTTGACACAGTGACATCAAGCAATTATCAAGGCCAGAGGGGGCACAACTAAATATTAAAACAAGAATCATACCATATGACCACTTTTGTCAATTACCTTAGTGGCATTATTTCTATATATAGGTTTTCTTACTCGGAGAACCATTTTTGTATTTGCCATGTATTTATTGATCACCTACTGTAATACATTTGTCATGGTTAGTTTGCTAATAAAGATGCATATATGTGTTTGAATGACTGAAATGTGGGTCAGCTTACATTGCACAATGTCCATATCTGTTTTAAACTAGTTCTTATACTTCCATAATGCACAATCTTATAAAAAATTACAGGAACCAAGAGAAGTGTTAAAAAAATTGGGTGATGCAATGCTTTTTTCCCACCACTGTATATGTATATTATTATGTAGATTATTTTGCAATTTTAGATTAATATATGAATTTAAGAGTAAATCACCTTAACTGGCCAAACTTCATGAAAACTGCTAACAGTTATATTATATTATATTATATTTTTTATAAGTAAGAACTGTATATTAAATTAGCTATATTCATTACTGGGTTATATTTCAGTTCTAATATATGTAGGGAGCTTGCTTTGATTGGAACTTAATGATAATCTGTGGTTCAGTACTAGAGTTCAGGAACTTTAAGCTTGTGAATGTAAGAAATATTAGAACTAGATGCAGGATTAAGTCTTTATGATATAACTTGAACCATATACATAACAAGTGACATTTGTAGTAAAATTGCTGAAAAGGCAAAGTAAATGTTATACTAATGTCGGTTAAATAGGTTTCATAAAATCTATTGCCAGATTTACTAGTTTCCTTGTAAATTCAAGTATTGTAAGGTTTTTTATTGTAGTATTTTATACTAAAATTTCAACTTTTACACCATTTTTTTGTCAGCAACGTGCCATGCTTGAGCTTGAAGTGAAAAATCTTCAAAATAAATATGAGCAGGAAGCAGCCACCCACCAGGAAGACATTGCCAACTTCACAGCAGACAAGAAACGACTCCTGTCCTCAACAGAAGAAGCCAATATGGAAGCCATACAGTGTAAGTCACTTCAAACTTGCAAACTATAATTGTGAATTACTTATTGTTTTCAATAGTTCTGATGAGAAGTAAATAAGCACCTTAGCAACTTTAGTTTCCTCCCAAAAGGTACATAAAAGGGTTCAAAATATTTACTTTCATACCTGCTACTGATCATCATTGCCTCTCATTTCCATTATCATATAGGTATTTTGTTTGAAATATCACTACAACATTGTATTGGTGTTCAGACTGTGATATACATTTTGTTGTCCTCTTCTCTTTTTTTTTATGATATAGTTAAGCAGTTAGAGGCCAAAAGTCACAGAGTCTTTGTAACATATCAGTCGCTTAACCCTTTTGAGACGGGTCATGGGTGAAAGGCCATGTCATCTCGTTTGTTGACTCGCATTCAAACTTTTAATGAACAACTACTTCATGAATTTATGTCAATAAGTTTGGTATCAAACTGTAGATTATAATTCAAATTTTAGTACTATATATTACTGAATTTCATAATTTAAAAGCAAATATTAAAAAACACAGATAAACAACAATTTTTGTGTGTCACATGGTATGTTGAATGCAGCACTGGTACAAATTAGATGTTTGTTAAGTTTATAGTTTTGAACGAATTAGAAACTCAAATTACCGATATTGACAAGCTAGAATGTAAAATAAGAGCCTCTTATCTTTTCAGTTTGCTAAGATATTGCTCATGTAATAAATCAAACACAGTGGCACCCCACCTACCTCTTTCCATTTTTGGAAATGCTCTCTTATATACACTTACATCTATATATGACATGAATAACCAATCAGAAGCTCAAAATGTCCCCCTAGTGGCTTTCTCAGCCATTTTAATGGACTTTTCTTTCTTTTGAACCAATATTTCAATGAGGTAAGGTGTGTCTTTAGTCTGCTCAAAATTTAATTATTTTTTTTGGACTAAAATACATCTTAGTTACTAAGCTTGATAAATTATAGTGGAATTCTATGGTATTAATGTAGTAATTTATGATTTTTTAGTAATTCAAATGTATATATAAAACCTAAAAAAAAATTATCGTGCTTCATATCCTCTATGTGCAAAATTTTAAAATGCTTAGCAACCTATGTCAAGCAGCAAAGCAACAGTCAAGCAACAAAGATCGTAACTAGAAGAGATAATTGTTTGGTTTACTTCTTTAGTTTCTGTTCTATGGTTTAAGAAAATAAGTTTAAGAACTTATTT